ATTTATTAAAGATTTCTGTCTCTTCCCCGCCACCGCCTCCCATTTCCCTCCCCCTCCCCCAATCAAGTCCCCCGTTTTCTTATCTTAACTTCTATAACGTGAAAAGTTGGAAAACTTGGAGATCTGTGCTGTTGTAAGCTAGCAATCAACTGATATCAAGCAGCTTGGAGTCTCCCAAGACTACAGAAACATAAGAGGAATTTACAGTATTCTCTAACTACTACTCTGTGGATTTCTTCCTCAGCTTATGTCCTTGACCCCTGACTATAGATGGTGTGAAAACAAAAAAATAACAGATACATATACAGAGAAAAGCTGGGACTGAGTGAGCTGGGATTTCTAATGGAGAAGCCTCAGCACTTGGGTAGCTCAGTGTGTTTATTGCAGACAGTTAAACAGGGAGAGGGGGTTAGTGTGTGCAGCTAAATTAGGTGGGTTTGGCTAATCTTGGTAGGTGCAGTCTCTGTAGGGGAGTGGCCCTCAGAGAGTAAACACTAGTCGAGAGAAGGCAATGGTGGACATTTCCTGCACACACTCTCCACATTCACACCAGAGGGAGACTTTGCTGTCCCTTTGAGCCTCACCCAAGGAAGACTAGGCAACTCCCAGGGGGCAGAGTCACTGGGTCTTTAACATTGCCCATGTGAAACAATACACATTAACTCAGAGTCCCACTAGCTCCCTAAAGCACTCCATGATAATCTCTTAATATACCTTGTATGAGAAGGAAGGGAAACTGTATAATTTTATTAAAATACCTGAAATGCAGATAAATCTGACAAATATGGCAAATTTATATATAAAAAACCTACAAAATATTTCTAACAAAATAAAATCCAATTTTGTAAATGAAGAGGCAAACTTTGTTGAAGATTCCCAAGATCCATTATTAATATTTGAAATCTCCAAGTTCACAGCAGAATTAATTGGCAAGCTGATTATAAAGTTTACATGGAAGTTAGAGAAGTAGCTCCATGATAGATGACTTGCCTACTATGCACAGGACCTGGATATAGGGGGGAGGCAGGGAGGGAGCGGGGAGAGGGAGGAGGAGGAGGAGGAGGAGAAGGAGAAGAAAAAGAGGAGGAGGAGGAGGAGGAGGAGGAGGAGGAGGAGGAGGAGGAGGAGATGATTACCAAGGAATGTAGAGTCCCTAGAATACTGAAAACCCTGAAAAGTAAGTGGGACCAGACTGCTGATTTACATACATATTCTAATAAAATTAACTCCCAAGTATTTTTGTGTTTAAACAACTCACCATCTTCTAAGACTGTTTCAGATGCCTGAGTTACATCGACCATAGCTCTTACTTCTTTTGTTACCTAAATGATAAATACTATTATAAAAATGTCTTTGATATTCATATGACATAATGTATAAAGGCAGTGACTACTAATTTTATATAAATAAAGCCAAAGAATCCCCTGAAGAGAAATTTTTTAAATCAATACATTTTATTAGTTCCATAAGGGTTTCATATAATGTGTTTTGATCATATTTACCCCCTCCCCCAATCCTTCTCAGACCCAATCTCCTCCCCTACCCACCCAACTTTGAGTCCTTGTTTTTTAACCCTTCAAGATCAATTTATACTGCCCAAATAGTCTTATATGTGCTGCTTCCTCAACCAGGGGCTATCCTCTTAAAGGAAACCATCTCTCCCAGCAACTAACACTTGCCAGCAGTTCACAGCTAACAGTGGGACTGTGTAGTGAACTCCCCTCTCCATGTTGGGATTTGGTCTGGCTCGGACTTACACAGGTCTTATACAAGCTGCTACCACTACGTGTATCAGTGTGGAAGCTTCTCGAGGAGCTAAAAATAGATCTACCATAAGATCCAACTATATAACTCTCTACAATATACACAAAGGCTCCACATCCTACCCTAAAGATACTTGCTCATTTCTGTTCATTGCTGCTTTAATCACAATAGGAGGTAATCATTCTGAGTGAAGTAACCAAGACCCAAAAAGAGAGATGCCAGATTTTCCCGTTTATCTGTGGGTCTTAGCTTTGAATTTCAAGTATGTGTGTTTAATTCATAATACCCAAAGAACTCAGAGAAATTCTGAAGGGCCTTAGCCAGGTGCTTTTAAAAGAGAAGAGCTGGAAGGCACAGGTGAAAAGTGTTTACAGGGGATAATTAAACAGGAAGGGTTAAAGTGGGGTTGGGGAGCAAAGGGTAGCGTAAAGGAGGGAACTTGGGTAGGGATAAATAATACTAAAGACCTTTCAAAAAAGGTATATGGAAACCTCCTACTGTAGACATTTCTGTTCATAGAGAGAGTTTAAATGGAGCTACCCGATCACATGGAAACAACACCTTCTAGACACCAGAAACTAGCAACTTCAAAGCCCAGTGCCAAGAATGGGTTTCTTCTTTTGGAATTGTTGGCCCATGAGGCCCCATAGAACCCCAAATATCACAGCCTATTGTCATAGCTCTTGGTTACCCTCTAGGATTTAAAAATAAAATGGATACTTTTCTCAATAGCTACTTTTTCGTAAATATAATTTCTTTCAAAACCGGTGGTTTTAGACAAAAATATTCCATATTCTCTTTACTGTAGTGATATTTTGTATGTAATCTAACAAATAAAGCTTGCCTGAAGATCAGAGTGCAGAGCCAAGCCACAAGTTAGCCATAGAGGCCAGGCAGTGGTGATAGACACCTTTAATCCTAGGCAGGTGGCTCACTGTGAGTTCAAGATCACCCTGGGTTACACTAGATAGATCCAGTTTCAAAGAGGAACAGAGCCAGGTGGTTTCTCAGTACTTGAAAGTTTACTCCCAGTTTTTGGTAGCCACACACCTTTAATCCCAGCATGAGGGAGGTGGAGTCAGGAGTGATATGGCTGGAAGGAGAAAGGTATATAAAGTGGGAGTAGACAGGAGATCGGATGCAGTCTGAGGATTCTGTCTGAGCCTGCAGTCTGAGGTTTCACAGAGACAGCATTCAGTCTGAGGACTCCTAGAGATAGAATCACCCCTTTGGTCTGAGGATTTGGTGGAAGTGAAAAGAACTTTCTAGTGGCTGATTGCTCGCTTTCTCTGACCTCTCAGCTTTCACGCCCTAACAACTAGCTCCGGGTTTTTGTTATTAAGAACAATTAGATTCATGCAACGCTTTATCTTTTATTTTCTTTATATTTTGAGACAGGGTCTTCCTTCATCTGTTTCCCACGCAGGCCTGAAACTCATAATATATTCACCTGGACCCACACTCATGAATTCCCCCCTACCTTGATTTTAAGTGTTTAGATTACTGATGTGTACAGGTCTGGGGCTTTTTTTACTTTTTCACTTTATGTTTGATGATGTATTTTAACTCAGAGTTTCATAAGATTTCACTACCTTTTATGTAACACAGTGAATAAAGAAGTACTTTAGATTCTTTTCACAGTACCTTGTGTTTTCCCTTAGATGTTTTATTTCGGGGCCTAAAAAAACACAAATAACTTTTAAGAAAATGATAAGCATATAAAATATAAAACTATTATTTATATCTTATCAGTTTGATCTATTCTATTTATTAAGTCTACATAGGAAGAACATAATGTTATCTGCATCTTGATAGATAGCAATAAACAATATTAATTCTTTTTTAAATTAAACTTTTATAAATACTAAAATCTATTTGAAAATACTGCTTGATTCCTTGAATTGAAGGAAGCAATTCAACAACAATGTTTAGAAGTAGATTTTCAGGATCAACTAAGCAATTATAGTGCACTATTCTAATTATTCTTATTACTGTAAATGTATTGAACTAATTTCAATTTTGTTAGATAGAGGACAGGTTAGGTATTTTATAAAGCAACAATCTAAACAGACAACAACAAGTAATTTGCCCAAATACAAACGTCTGTTCAATTAAGATGAGAATTCATATCTCAGAGTATTGCTGCACAATACTCTAAAAGCTTTATGACATTCCTCGTGAATTTAGAATTAAAAATATCCTCTTACTATGTAAAGATACGAATTGAATCAGTTAGCTCATCAGAAATCCTTAAGGAGAATGTATCTAGATTTCTTGTGCTTGGACAAACAAATGGAGCTGAATAACTGTATTTCTCTCTAATGCTTCCTTTCCAACATCACACAAACACAATCTAAAAGCTACCAGTGAAAAAAATCCCATCTAACACCCATATTCTTCTCTGATTTTTACGTGTTCTCTGCTGCCTTTTGTGATACTTTTTTCCTCTGGAATCGACTGCACTTATCTACTACAATTAGGCTTCCATCATGACCACATTCTCAAACTCTTCCTTGTTAGCACCTCATGTCCACATCTTAACTTCTCAACGCGAATATGCTAGCAAGTACTCATCCTTTGCTAAGACTGCACTGTTCTGTTATCAAGAAAGATGACTGTTAATAACCAAGCCTCCCCATGCTACCATGAACTAAGGGAATCCACAAGTTCTCACCCTTAGATCAAGAACCACAGATGATCAATGGCTAATGAGAAAAGAATCAGTTTCATCCATGTGGTATCTTGTCCATATACATATGGCAGCAGACACTTATACATATCAGTACTGCTGAACTTTTGAACAGATTCAAAAGACTATATACCTATGTATCAATACATGTATAGTATGTGTGTGTATATATGTACATATCAATGATAATTAACAATAAGATGTCACAAATTAGGACTGTGGAGGGGACATGAGAGGAGATAAAGGTAGGGTTGAGAGTAGTGGTGATGCTATACTCATGTATAAATTCTCTAAAATTACATTTAAAAATATCCAATTGTGTAACAGTAGTGAAAATGAAAAGTCCTGGAAATAAAGTGATTCAAAGTTAGTGTTTATATAAAATGTACATGGAACTACTACGGAAAATTCAGTGCAATATATAGAAAATATCTTATATATGGGTTAAGAGATCATTAAAAATACACTTTATTTCAGTACCACCATTTTGCATTTACTACAGTGTAGCAATTTAATGCCCAACTCTGTAAGCTACATATAGTCTTCCACTTCCATTTTTGCTGTCCAGTTTTTATGTGTGTTACTTATGTACTGAAAAAAGTAGTATGTGCTAGTTGATTTTCATCAAGTTGACACAAACCTACAGTTATCTGGAAAGAACCTCAATTTAAAAAATGCCTTTACTGGGGTACCTTTAGGCAACTTTGGGGCATTTTCTAGATTAATGGTTCTTGTGGGAGGGCCCAGTTCACTGTGGATGGTATCAGCCCTAGGCTGGTGGTCCTGGGTTTTGTAAGAAAGCAGACCGAGCAAGCCAGGAGGAGCAAAACACGAAGTAGCTCCCCTCCGTGGCTTCTGCAGCAGCCCCTGCCTCCAGGTGCCTGCCCTGCTTGAGTTCCTGTCCTCACTGTTTTCGATGATGAACTGTTACATGGAACTATATGAAAAAAAAAAAAACTTTCCTCCTAAAGTTGCTTTTGGTCATGGTGTTTCATCATAGCCATAGAATCTAAATAAGACAAGCTTCAATCATGGTACCACTGAGTTCTGGTTTAAGATGTATAAAATAAAGTTTTACTGAATGAAGCACACTCATTCACATATCACCTGCACCATACAGTCAACAAGTTTTTATACATACTATGAAATTACTCAAGACTTCTTTACCGATTTTATTTACGAAAAAATTGTAAAATCTGTGAGATTTGTCTTTTTCTTCTAATTTGACAACTGTCTTATTTAGAGTTTCTGTTGCTGGGATAAAATAAACTATGACCAAAAAGCAAAACAGAGAGGAAAGAGTTATTAAGCTTACACTTCCACATTGCTGTTCATCATCAAGTGAAGACAGGACAGGTTCCTAAACAGGGCAGAATCCAGGAGGTAGCAACTGATACAGAGGCCATGGAGGGGAAGCTGCTTACTGGTTTGCTCCCCATGGCTTGCTCAGCCCACCTCTCATAGCACACAGGACCAGCAGCCCAGCGATGGCACCACCCACCATGGACTGGACCCTCCCACATTGATCACTAACTGAGAAAATGACTCACAGCTGGATCTCGAGGAGGAATTTCCTCAACTGATGATTCTGGCTTGTATCAAGTTGGCACACAAAACCAGCTATCACAACAACACTGATTATTACCTTTTGAATAAAATCTTTAACAATAAAATTTTATGCTCTAGAAAAAGCATAAAATTTATCACATGAAAATTATCCTAAATAGAATTTTATAGGACAGTAGCAATTATTAATTAATTATTAAATATTATGCTCTTACCCATCATGTTTTGCATTCTCCTTAATAAGAAATCTCTGGTCATTGATTTCTCCAGATTCCATAGTAGAATCAGCAATACCACCATCAGCAGCAGCAGCAGCACCAGCAGCAGCACCAGCACCAGCAGCACCAGCAGCAGCAGGAGAGGTAAAAACAGCAGCTTCACAGGGGTATTTTGCTATGTCTATTCCATTGCTTGCACACATCTTTGTTTTTTCAACCTGCAACAAAAAGACACAAGTGAATTTTACTTCCTTACTTATTAGAATTTTTGTTAAAACCCATATTTAGAAACATCACAGTTTGGAGCATCAGTAACAAATGAATTTTCCCGTTCTAAGATATCATCCCCCCATTTTATTTTTGATCATTTTTTCATTTCGAAAGTAAAACGTCAAGAAATGCAATAAAGATGCTCACAAAATTATAGGAGTTGGTTTTCCAAAACTTGTAGACTTAAGACTCAATCTTTTAGGTTAAACTTGGCAAAAAAAAAAAAAAGAAGAAGGAGAAGGAGGAGGAGGAAAGAAAGAAAGAAAGAGAGAAAGAGAGAAAGAAAGAAAGAAAGAAAGAAAGAAAGAAAGAAAGAAAGAAAGAGCAAGTTTACCAGAACTTGGCATATAAAAAGTACAATAACTAGTGTTGGCAAATGCTGTAGTTACCACTGCTCTGCAGGGCTGTCAATGCCTTTAATCCATGCATTCAGGAGGCAGAGGCAGGCAGATCTCTGAGTTCAAGACCAGCTTAGCGCAAGTTCCAGAACACCCAAGGCTACACAGGGAAACCCTGTCTCAAAACAACAACAGAAGTCTATGAACAACAGTACAAAAGGAAAATAATTACATGTTAATTCTCACTAAATGTGGCTGCTCAAAAGTAATTGGCTCCCATGGGCTCATAGGGAGTGACATCATTAGGAGGTGTGGCCTTATTGGAAGAAGTCACTGTGGGTGTGGGCTCTAATTTTGCTATGTTCAAGTTGCTCTCAGTATCTCTGACCACTTTCTGATGGCTGAGGGTCAAAATGAGGACTCTCAGCTCCTTCTCCAGCACCGTGTGTGCCTGCATGTCACCATGCTGCACTATGATGACAATGGACTTCACCTCTGAAAATGTAAGCAACCCCAATTAATTTTTTTTTTACTTTTTAAGAGTTTTCATGGTCATGGTGTCTCTTTAAAGCAATAGAAACCCTAACAGAGACAGTATATTTGGCCATGGTATAACACATCTATACCAATAATTTGCATTAGGTCCAACTGTAATATATTCATTCTGCTGTCTTCTAAAGAGTGGATAAAATGTTAATAATAATTACTATTTCTTAAGCTTGCAAAATAAGTCCACTTGTTTTATGATATAATATTTAAAAGAAAGAGACAAGAGTATTGAAGGAGTTGTTCAGATTTGAAAATCTACATACCAATGATTGATTGCTCTCACTGCTATAACATTTGTTTTGTTCATCCCCTGATGCCGCTTCTAAACCTGGTTCTGTTGACAAAAAAAAATCATAGTTAAAAAATATATATATATATACATATATATAGAGTCATCTATTTAATATGTATGGCTGAACACAAATTTATTGCCATCTATAATAAACAAAAATTCAGCTCTGCAATACAATTTAATTCAACCTGTGACACCCTCTTCCTATAACTTCACATTTATCCAATATTCGGCAGTTCTGTATCAAAAAAATTGTTTCACAGAACATGAGGAATCTGGTTGGAAGAGTTGGGGGTGGGACAGAGCTGGACATCCGTCAAGTTTCCTCCTGTTGACACACTATACTATACCTCTCTTGCTTTCCATGCTTCTTCTTTGAACATACTTAAAATGTAGTCATACTTGACTTCCTGTCATGTCACTCTGAACTGAAAATGTCACTGAAACTTCATGAGGAGAACATTGACCACATGCTCCAGCACGCTCCTCTATAAACATGCGAGAGCATCACTCCTCTTGTCTGTGGTAAGCACTCTGCTGAATGACTGGTACATGGAAGACACTTCTTACCTTCCTCTTCTTCACTTACAAGATCCTTGCTTCTTTGACCCACAGTCATGGATATATGGTCAATGTCCTTTAGTTGAAGATGTTTAGCTAAATCCTGAAGATGAATGACAGCAGAGATTTGCATGAGTGTTTCCTAATTACTTTGTAGCTAAAAGTCCAAATTTTCTACTTTATGAGCATGCATTCTGGAAAAGAAGAGATGTATGTATTGCACACTTAAAATCAAACTGAAGAGAGAAAATCACGTGTGCTCTCTGGATCCAGTTTATTTTTAATTTCACTGGATGACTACATAAACGGACTGGAATGAAGGAATAGAAATTAGTAACAACAGTAGTTGGTAACTTTAGAATGCATAACTATTATTTATATCCCATAATTTGAGGGCACCAAAAACATGTACTTGAATATATTAATTTCACTTGCTTGTCTATAGCATTAAGTATCTAGAGAAATCCCAATGACTCAGTTGTTTTAACAAAGAGGCACAATCATAAAGAATTACATAATATAGCACAGAAAACTAAAAAATAATACCAAAACCTATTGAACACATCCCAGAATAATGCTTAACTACCCACAAGATACTGGAGATTCAAAGTTCAATTTTTACAACTTGTCAAATTTTTTCTTGTTAAATATTTTTAAAATTAAATTTCTGTTACAAACTACTAATTATATAGAAAATCTTTAAGCTCTAAAATATTAATCCATTTAGCCTATGATGGGTTATTTACTAAAATATTAATATAAAAAGTAAAATAGAATATGAACATACAGTTGACTGACTGTTGTCATAGCCAGGACTTCTTTGCATCTCCTTTGATTTCACTGTTGAGTCTGTTTCTGACAAAACATAAATATATGTACTTAAAGAATAAAAATTGTTTATATAGTATGAGTCCTTATACTAAATGGTGAAATATTTAGTGAGGTATAAAACAAAAACAGACTCAGTAGGTTTCATTTATATGCTCTATATTTAGGCATAGACATGTGTAAAAGTAATAGCAAAAAAGAAAGCATCCATTTGCAAAAGAATAGAAGAGGCTGGATGAGTGAGAGGGAGGAAAGGAACAGGATGAAGTAATATAGCTGTATTTTAATTCAATTTAATATGTCAATAAATATACTAAAAATAATTATACTAAGAATCAAAATTTTACTTTCTCAATTAAAACCTCCAATTAAACTTAATTTTCAATTTGACATTCTATGACTTATAAAATACACATAGTTATCAAGATGCTCAATACAAATTGCTATCTTGATATTTAAATTTAGGTTTTTCTTTGTTGTTAAGTACTTTTGATATCATCTCATAGTTGGGACTTTGTGTCTGTCTTTTCTGATTTTCATTTTATTGAGACATTCCCTAAACTATATGCAAGTATAATTTAAACTACAATACAATAAGCACTAATTGACCTACTGTCTAGCTTATGAAACAGGACACTCCCATTCAGTAAACTTCGTCTGTATGAGTCTCGTCACTGATTTCTTCCTATGCTTCTCCTGTAACCATAATTCTAACATTTCTGACTATTATTTGTTTGAATTTCTGCATGGCTCTGAATCCATGAAGCCATGAATTCCTAGGTAACTATATTTGCTTTGTCTGTTTTTAAACTCTGTATAAGTGGATTATTAGTATAGAAGAAGAGAGATAATGAGATGCGTATGACAAAAACTTAGAGGGGTTTACTGTATGTGGTTAAGAAGGAGACAGGCAAACAACAGAGGGAGAGGGAGAGAGAGAGAGAGAGAGAGAGAGAGAGAGAGAGAGAGAGAGAGAAGGAAAGAGGAAAAAAAGAAAGGAAAAAGAGAGGATGGTGGGGGATGAAAATAAAACATACATATGTTAAACTACTGAAATGATAGTCACTAATTTGTATGATAATTAATTAGTAAAGTTGAATGACTTAAAATGGAAGACTGATTGGGGGGAGAGGAGTGGGGGGAGAGGGAGAGGGGGGGGGGGAGGAGGAGAGGGGGGGGAGGAGGAGGAGGGAAATGGGAGGCTGGGAGGAGGCGGAAACTTTTTTTTTCCTTTTCTTAATAAAAAAATGAAAATAACAATAATAAAATAATAATAATAAAAAAATAGAAGACTGAGGAGGAGTCAGATATGCAAATTGTGTGTAGAACCTTAAAATGATTAGAAAGAAATTAGGGTTGTTACCATTCATTTTTCAATTGAGATGGGTTACTATAAATGTGAAAGAAAAATTAATAGGAGGCATGGTGAAAATTGGTGAGGAGCGGTTCGATGAAAAAAAGTACTATCTAAAAGGAAAGCAGTCCTGAATGGAGTATGTTTCCATAGTCTCCCCGAGTACAAAATTACTAAAGATTAGTCCAGAAAACATTTCACTGAAAGAGTGGAAATATAAATTGTCCTCCCTAGATGCTGGTATTAGCATTATCATATGAGATATGAAAAAACTGCATGGACAGTGACGTTGATTGCGTATACTTTGATGTTTTCTTCTGTATGTGCACATATGTGGGTAAAATACTTGGAAGATTTCTCAGAGGTGTCTGCATATTACATATAACAGGCTCACCAAAACAATTTTATCATGGAACAGAGTTTTGTTCACTGTCAGAGACTAAGAAGGACGTGGAAGGCGGCACTGGGAGAAACAGGTAAATAAACAAGCAGGTGAGTAGAGAACTCTAATCACCAGGAAATCAGAAGAAAAGCAGACAAGCATGGAAAAGGAGAAACAATAAATACACTGCATGAATATCTAAGTTTAGATTTGCTACTGGCAGTAACTGAAGTTTGTAGTATAGAAATTACACAAAGTTTGCCCAGCACACAGTGTTTCCAGCCTGAATTAAAAAGCACACCGGTCTTTTTAAAACATGGCTTCTTTGTGTGTAATTCGGGATCGCTCAAAATTCCTATGCATGAGAAATCTTTGCCCCAGTCTACCAAGTAAATGACTGTAAACACATGTAACTAATTGTTTTAAAAAGTGGATTTTAAAAGTTAAACTTCCCTAGGAGTCAACAAAGCATGGCATATCAAGTTGAGACAATACCAAGCTCCTCCCCCTGCATCAACTTGATACACCATGCTTTGCTGACTCCCATGGGAAGGCCTTACCTTTTCTGAGGAGTGGATGGGGGGCTAGAAAGGAAGTGGGAGGAGGGAATGGGGGGAGAGGAAGGATGGGAAACTGTGGTTGGTATGTAAAATAAAAAATTTTAATAAAAAAGTTAAATTCCACTAAAACCTAAGAAATACTATGTTTCCAATATAGGACTGTGGATATATTAGTGCATAAAAGTTGAAACACTTGTGTTACAGCTGACGATTATAGAAATTCTGTCTTATACTCACAAGCAGCTTGCGATGGAACAATGAAGGTCAAAATATTTGAATTATTTACATAAAATGCTTTCATCAGATTTGAAGAGCTAAGAAATTTGGATTCAGAGACTGATAATGTCAAATGCCCATAAAACACATGTGAGAAATTCTTATTTCTAAATTTACCTGCCATTGATGATATTTCCTGCGCCATTGTTGGATCTTCAGTTGGTACAGAACCCTGCTTTTCAGTGGTAGCCTGTACGGACTGGAAGGGAGATATTTAATAATGTTTGTGCATGTCTTATATTGGGGAGCTAACTACACACAATAAAATGGAAATATTATTACCTTCAATTCAGTATATTCATCAGAAGAGCCTGAAAAGTGATAGACATGTAACTAGCTATATATTGACATGACAAAGTCAATTAGAATTTCATGCTAAATTAAAGGAGAAAATCATTGGTAGAGTTATCACTGGGACTACTTCCCTTAAGAGTGGGATTCAGTTTGCTTCCCCATTGCTTATTCTGTCTGATGTGGACAGAAACAGAATTGAAACCAGAGGGAAAAAATGAATGTTACTAAGAAGAAAAGACAGATACCAATGTGGTGTTCAAAATTAATTGGAAGGAAACTGGCCATAATACTAAGGAATTTATGGTTTTTCCACGTTATTGTAATTTAGGAAGCAAAATCAGTCATAAATGTTCAATAGAATGGATAAATTATTGGTCTTCAAAAAATTTGTTCAAAGTAATCACCTTGGATGTTTACGTGTAGAACACTAAAGCATAAAATGTTCCATTTTTGCATGTATTTGGGAAATATTATCAACGCATTTATCTCCTTCAATTTATAGAAAACTTTTAGTAAACATGTTGTAGAAGGTCTATAAACTAAGCTATAACATAAAGCCTATGTTTTTGCCTCTAATGCACAATTGTCCCAATAAAATATAAGCCAGTTTTTCAAAATCATTTTGAAGTTATTGAATTTCTACATTTGAAATCAGGATAACATTTACTAGAAAATATAAATAAATTTATCATGTGTAGCTAATTTTTCCATAATTGCATGGGCTCCACATAATGTAAATTATCTAGCATCTTTACTGAGAATCTAACAATCCTGACAATGACTGAAGCTGGTATCTTCCCGGCCACAGCCCTGGGTTAAAGGAGTCCCATTTTCATGGTCACATTGAGGAGGACAAGGAGTCCTGGGGTGTTTTTGCTTTGCTTTCAGACTTGATGCAATCCTACTAATTTTCATTCTCCCTTCCTGCCTCCGTTATAGACAGTCTTTCCTTCCCTTGGCACCTTGTTTCCGTACGCTCCACTGTGTACTCCGACCTCAATCTCCTTGCGTTGTTTCTCCATAGTCTCACTCTTTTCTCCTAAATAGCCCTCGCTTAAAAACCTCGATATTTGAAATAATACTGAGGTTCTCTCAGCGATTCTCTCAATGTAAACAAGGCATTATGCACACATTCCACAGACAGTTGCTAGCAGTGAGGAGAATTTTAGAAATACAGCTCTTACACGTCGTTTCCGTGGCTTCTGTGTTCTCCCCTTCTTTTGTCTCCACACATACCCGAACACTCCGCTTTGGCTGAAATTGCTCTAGGATATGCTGTTGAAATTAGCATCATTGTGAATTAAATTTTTCCTAGTTATTTCCAACTCCCCCCAAAAACATCATTTACTCTTTCAAAAGCAATAACACTTTTAAAATATTGAAAGATAAAAAAATATTGAAAGATAACCAAAATTCAAAGGAAATCCTCATATATGCTCTCCAAATCAATCTTACCTTCATCGTATTTCTGACTACAAAAATACCCCATGACTGTCAAATGATCCCATACCCATGTGTATGTGGGCAGCAATAATTGAACTCACAGCTTTACCGAATGACAGCCGCATCCACAATAGCACAGGAAGTTGAGAGAGTTACATGATACAGAGGAGCCAAAGGGAGATGCAGGGCGATCAAAATACACTGTATATATTTATGAAATCCACAAAGAATAAGTAAAAAAAGCTATCATGTTTTAAATGAGCACTGAAGACACGAGGCAACATGTTTATAAACAGAACAGAATCATTATGCATACTTGCATAACAAATTAATTTTATGATTCTTATCTACTGTCCTCAAAAAACTCTGAGCATTTTCAAAAATATGTATTTCAATACATTCTTGTACTCCAATTGTTATAAGCCAGAATTACATATTTAGAATTCTAAGTACAGAAACATTTTTTGTGTTGAAAGAAGAAATGTGGAATGAAACAAAGATGTCTAAGTGAGCAAAATTACATACCATGCAAGCATGAGGAGCAGAGTTCAAATCCCCAGAACGCACTTTCAAATACTTGGATACACAAAAGATGCACATGCAAATGACCTTCACTGAATTTAGATTTCAAATCTCACTCTCATCCCCAGGCTAAAGAGAAGTCTCAGCAAATGTGATATGATGACATCATTTCTGATTTTTATGTGAAGCAATCACAGAATTCTACACCTATTTTTTTTTTGCGCTTGAATTATATAACACAATGTCCTAATCTCCTCTACTCGATAAATGGAAATGTATCAAAATCATAGCAACCAAACTTTCATATGAGCTTAGTCACTGCTGATGGTTAAAGATGGCTTACTGGGAAATAGCTTTCAAGATGCTAAATTACATATTAAATTACCATTTAGTGATTTTTTTACATATGTCTACAATATAACTGGATCTGGATTGTTGTCACTTTTTTATCAAAGAAAACAATATAAAAGAAATTTTTATATTCACATACCAACTGTGGCTTCTTCTCACTGTCATGGCATCCTGTTTGTTCTTCTGATGCAACTAGTTTAGGAGATTCTGCTAACAAATTCATACAAAGAGTTAAAATTAACAATGTGAACAGTTAGAAAAAATGATCTATATAACTAGTCATTTAAAAACCTTTAACACTGAGCAAAAAAAAATGTGCTTTAATTTAGCAATTAAACATTTCAATTAAATTCACTGTTCAGCTGGATATTTATTTACTTGCTTAAGGGAATACCTACAACTATCAAGAATTTGATATATGAGTAGAGAGACGGTAGGAGGCACCAGGTTACAGTTATGCAGTATGTCAAATATGCACACAAATATTCCCAGTAAACAGAAATGAACACACACATAGAAGCAGAATTGATAATTATGTGCAATCATATAAATCATACATTGCATACTATTTCTACCTCATACATTGCACACTATTTCTACCTAGGGAGAGAAATATGTCAAAACTCTGCTTCCTTATTTGCAATTTCTTATACCTCATTATGCAAACACTGTCTTACTTATATTGCAAATGTATGTCTCTACTACTTTGACACACCTTTTTCTTCTCATAAAACTCAGCAAAGGACAGGAAATCTTCCTGGGCTCTCACTCTCCAGGTTAATGTGTGTTTTTCTCTGAACTACCTTAGAGTTTCATTCTTTTTTAGATGCCTCCTTCCCATTTGAACTGATAAGTATATCTTTAGATATCTAACTTTTTGCCTCTTGCCTAAAAGTGATGATGTTTAGACTACTTTCTTACCTATGATGATGATGATGATGATGATGATGATGATGATTACTTTATATGTATGGATATTTTGTCTGCATGTATAACTGTCATCGTGTACATGGCTGGTCGCTATGGAGCCCAGAATCAGGTATCAAATCCCCTGAAAGAGTGAGCCTCTAGTGGGTACAGGTAATTGAGTCTGGGTACCTTATCGGAGGCTCCAGTGCTGATTATCACTGAGCCATCTCTCCAGCACCTGTTTAGGACATCTTTTGTGTAAGTAGTGTTGTTTTTACTTTGTTCAATAATCATTCACTAAATTCTTACTGGTTCATGCCTTGGAATGTGTTGGACACAAGCAAATGTTCAGTGATGGTCGTATATAGGTCCTTCCTGATGTGATTCCTGAAGAGTGAGGGCAGTGTGAACATGTGTGCTGATGTGGAAGGCAGGAGCAAGAGACGAGCAAGACAAGCAAAAAAGTGTTGAATTGAAGAAGTCATTGTCTTTGACAATAACTTGAGTACATGTACAGCTTGACTACAGCCGTCTGTCACCATTTACTGTACAGAAAAGTCACCTCTTTAAGACTTTGCATTTCTCTCCTCTACCCACATTGAAGGAAACAAAGCAGCTGCTGGCTCTGCTGTTTATCTCTGAGACATTTCGGTGCTTCTATCTTATATTCTCCCTACACGTATAGCACGATCACCCTTCGTTTTGTGAAGGATTTATTTCCAGAATCTCCACTAAAATCACTGGCATGATTTCCCTGTATTTATCTTTTGTAACTTCACCCATTTTATCTTTGTTCAATCTTCTTAAACACTCCTCTGTTTCCTAAAATTCTCCTTTTAAATAAAAACCTGATGCTCTTTAGCCTACAACAGCTTCCCCACTGACATCTGGGTGTAACTTCTTTCAGGAGCTCGAAGACACATACACACTGCAGTCACTAGAACTTTCTGATTCTTAAGTATTTCTTGGGCAACTTTCTTCAGTAAAGAGACTGTTTCCAACTTCCTGTTTTATCTCAGGGCACTCCCTGCAATGACCTTCTGTTAATGGGGTCTTTACCTTTCTCTCCAGTGGCTCCAGTGTTTCCTCTGCTTTCTTCAGGACCCACAGACACTCGAGCACTCCACTTGGGTTGAAATCGCTCAAAGATGGGCTGGAAAAATGAGCATGGGTAAGGAGCTACTCAGAGTTCCTAAGCACGCTCCAAGAAAACAACAACATTTCCTTTCTCAAAATCATATATATATATATATATATATAGCATGTACAGAAAACCAAAAAAAATTGAAAATAAATATTTATATGCTCTCTAAACACATCCATCTATATTTTCTTTCACTTGATAACTGACCATAGAAGTTCAGAGGAGACATTATAGAAGAGTCTACACCGTACATCCTTGAACAATAAAGTCAACTTCAGAATGCCGCACTAGTATTTGCAATAATCACAAACCACCAGAATTTTGAAAATGTGTATGAAAGAAAATCTTATTCTCCTCTTGCTATTACATGATGAGACACTAAGATAATCTGAATGGACGGAAACGCTTTCTGTCTCAAAGCAAGAAATGCATAAGAAAAAAAAACCTTTCTACTATGTGCTCTTTGGATTGCCTTGATCATTGTTATAGAATTAAAATTCAAAAGATACTAGCTAAAACTTTTATAAGAAAAGGTCTGATTGCACAGAGAGACCAAGTCATATGGAAAACTTCCTTAGTTTACCAGTTAAATAAGAGCTTGAGAAATTACATATCCCATGCAAGTTTTAAATCTTAAGACAGAATAATGAAAATTATAGGAAGCATTAATAAGGGGTGACGCATAAAAACTTTTATAAACTAAGCTCCTGAAATGTGTCCCGCACCAAGGGCCAATTTGTGTCCATACACTGTAAGAACACAAACAACGGAAGGCAATTTCCCTTCTGGTTAATTTGACCAAACTCAAATTCTCCACTTCCTTCCCTGTGTCTTCTGTCTATGTGTAGTTTGTTACTAGTCTGCCTGTTGTCTCTCTGTTCTGTGAGTCTGGTCTGTGTCTGTGTCTCTGTGTTTCTGTCCCTAACAACAACCTTTCCTCTGGATTTGTCATAACAGAACTTTCCTTGTTTAAGGTTACTGTCAGCATGTTGGTTGCTCTCAACAAATGAGCATCACAACACACACATCCACATACGTTTTTCTGTCCAGGGGAATGGAATAATACAATAGCTTAAAACTGATGGTGTGCTTTAGCTCGGGTTATAAAACTGATTGCATGGGGAATCCAAAGCATAGCATGGTTGGCTAAATTGTTCTCTTAAAGACGGATTAAGCTTAAACAAGCTGAGCACATAGTAGGATACTAGGCTAAATAATGGTCATAAATGGTCACAAGGGATATTATTAACTTGTCTGCAAGGTTCAGTCTTTTTGGAGTCAAGAGATATTTTAAGAAATATGTCTCAACATAGATCCCCGTATTCATGTATCCTCCAGTTAGAATTTTCAGTCATTGGGAATAATCATAGCATTAATCAGTTTCAGGAAGCAGCATTCCTCTACTGTTCGTATCTTAAACTGCTTAGTCACCAGTTCAAATCTGGTCTATCTCTGTAGAGAAGATATTATAGTAATGGAACTCCTATAATATCAATAAGAAAAGGTCGTGGAAGAAATCCAAGGGTCAGACTGAGGAGGAGTTAGTTACTGCAGATTCTGAAAACATTATGCATGGTCCAGTTGACAAAAGGTTTTAAAAGTAGCTATGGTTTATTAGATATGATCCCACAGTTCTCTAGGGCAATGTGAATATAACTGCTTTGGCCTGTGTTAAATGTTCACAGGTGGAAACAACCTTAAAGAAAAATGTCAAGCCCTGAGTACCTTCCGCTGCTTCTTATCACAGCCATTTCGTTTTGTCTGTTCCTCCTCCGGCCTCAGTTGTACTGTTGTGGCTCCTAAAAAATACATACGTGTAGTCAGACATTGAAACAGTGAAATAAAACCAAGTTCATCTATTTAACCAGTGATTTAAAAAAAAAAAGTTGAAAAAAAAGAAGTAACAAAGAATTGGAATTTTTTCTCATTTTCCTTTGTATTTTAATTATTGAAACACACAAGACAATCACAAGTTTTAGAAGGAGCTGGAGGTACGGTGAGAGGACTGTTTATTTTTCTGATATATCTGAGCATAACTTGACATCAGAATGCCCATATCTACTGGATACTTAAGGATATATTTTCTTCAAAAACGGTGACTAAGTTAGGGAAATAATTAGATTTTTAATTTAACAATTTTTCACTTAAATATTCACCGGCTTGGGAAATGTAATTATCTAGAGATTCATACAACACTAGACACAGAGGAGGAGGCATGATGTTGAAGTTGAGCACACATGTAGGATGCATGCATAAGTGGTTACAGTAAACAGAAACTAGCACAACTTTGGGAACAGAACTTACAGATACACAGAATCCCATACAGCCACTCTACACACTATTTTCAATTTTAAAAATCAACCAGGCATTTTCTTAATTGCAACCTCTCATACCTCATTAAATTAACACTTGCAACATATGCTAAATGCTTTACTCTACTACTCTGGCAAATGGCTCCCTTCTTAAAAGACTTAGCACAGATTGTGACATCTTCCCTTTTTTTTTTTTTTTGACCGGGTTTCTGTGTAATAGCTCTAGCTGTCCTGGAACTAGCTCTTGTAGACCACGCTGGCTTGAACTCACAGAGATCTGCCTGCCTCTGTCTCCCAAGTGCTGGGATTAAAGGCGTGCGCCACCATCGCCCAGCTTACAGTCAGTCTTTAGCTCAACATGTATGTTTTCCCCTTAGCTACCAAAGAGGAATTATTCTTTTTAAATATTTACTTTATCTTATCTTTGGGGTATTAATTATTTCTTCAGATATCTAACTCTCTTTTCCTTTTTATTAAATTATTTTTATTTTATATTTATTTACTATATTTGCATTATTTTTCCCCTCTTTACCCTCTCTTTGGGCCCATCCCAGACCCCTTCACTATTTTCATCTTAACTTCCTGGTCTCCTGTTCTTTATTATTGTTACAAATGTGTGTGTGTGTGTGTGTGTGTGTGTGTAAATTTATAAATACAACCTGCTGAGTTTGCTCTGTTACTAGTGTGTCTATTATACCATTTGATATTGGATAAGCAGTTAGAAGACTAATCCTTTGGCAATAAACAACAGCTGTCTAATTAAAAACACAAGGGCCTCTCATCAAGAGAGAAATCTTTCCTGATACTTTAAACTTAGCCAACTACCTGAGGGTTGTGGGGTCAAGGAACCTGGAGGCCAACCTACTATGGACCCCTAAACTAGTATAATTTCTAACTTCATTATAAACATTTACACTGACCCCCAAAGAGGAGTATAGCTCTCACCCTCATCCAAGACGCTTTTCTGTACAGTAAACAGATCACTACAGAAGACCACAACTGGGCAAAATGCAGAGAGACTTGGGGAAGCTCATCCCTACAACCCAGCCCATATGCCCAAGGCTCAAGGAATACGACAGAAGAATGGCCCAGGGAGATTTTTTAAGAGCCAGAGGACCAGAGAGTCTATTGTGGGATTGTATCTTCTGTATGTGACAAGGAAGCTACACCAAGAAAAATCTAAACAGTATGGTTGCCAAAACAAGACCTGAGGTGTATGGGGGTGGATTTCAAATTCCTTGCCCCTGGATGAAGAACTATAGGCAATTATTGACGAGAGAGAGAGAGAGAGAGAGAGAGAGAGAGAGAGAGAGAGAGCGCTCCAACTCTTATTTCTGGCCTAAGGGGGACAATTTTGGAATCATCTTTTATAGAAGCAGTGTGTGTATATAATGTATATTGCTCAAAAATTATCTCTTGAGTCATGCTCTGGAATGTGTTGGATAGAAAGGAACACGTCAGTGGCGCTCATACACAGGTATTATCTGAGGTGTCTCCTGAAGAGGGAATTTAGGAAGGTAGGGATGAGGAAAGTGAAAGAAAAATGTGGAAGGCAGGACCAGAGAGGTAGAGAAACAGTGGATAACCAGAGCCAAGCAGTCCATGACATTAACTCAAGGAGAGGTACAACTGGCCACAGTTGCATATGTGTACCTACGGGGAAGAAAACCTGGTTCTGAAAAGCCTGGTGCTCCAATGCCAGTGTCTTCCCAGCGATGAAAACGGACACAAGTTGGTGTTTTGCTCTTCTCTTAGACACGTTGGTACTCTCCCTACATCTACAGCACCACTGCTGCCCATGTATAAAGAGCTTGTGTCCATGTTGTCCACTATAAACACCTGCGTGTGTCCTTCCTGGGATTCCCTGAAACGTCTCTCATTTCAATCTCCATTCCCTCTTCTGTAAATACTCGTCCGTGTCCTAAAATTTCCCAGGTTAAACAAAATCTTGAGTAACCACACTTCAAATATGTCTACTCTTATTACATCAGTAGGCGCATATTGTCAGGCCAGGCATTGACGCTCACAGGGTTCATGGCTGGGTAACACAGGGGGTTACCTTTCTTCCGTCATGGCTCTGACGGACCTGATATTTTCACCCTAACGCTCACCAGTAGTAAGGAGTGTAGGAGGCATGGTGACTTGATTCTACTCTTAGTCTCTTAGATTAGACTCTTTAATGCTTCTGTCTTACATTTTTCCTATATTTATAATACAACTGGCTTTCACTTTGTAAAGATGCTTTCAATTATGTGCCGCGACCTTGTTTCCCTTTATTTACTGCTTGTTATCACTTCCATTTCAATCTTTATTTTCTCTTCCTAAACACTCTTCTATTTCCTCAAATTTATCATTTTTAACAAAAACTCCCATGGTTTTAATCCTACTTTAGCTCCCTCGCCAACACTTTCAATGCAACCTCCTTTAGAAACTTAGGAAATAAAGATCAAAGTCATGTACTGTTATACTACTTCCTCCAAGATAGCATAATTGGAGTCTCCAAGTACGAGCAAAGAAGGTCTCCATCTTCCTGTTTTAATACGTATTGCTTCAAATGACTTTTTATTAACAGAATTCTCACCTTTCTCTTCAGCAGCTCCTGTGTTTTCTCTGCTTTCTTCAGGATCCGTAGATATTTGAGCACACCACTTTGATTGAAGTCGCTCAAAGATGGGCTGATAAAATGAACATCGGTAAGGAACTGCATGGAGGTTGCCTAAAGCCTTCCCAAGATACGTCGAGACTTCCTATCAAAAGCAACTAGACATAAATAAAGGATGCTTTGTAGAAAAACATATGTAATGAGATCCTAACATACACTCTCTCCATCGCATCTGCATTTCCTTCATATGATAACCGGTCAGAGACATCCAGAGGAGATACCATCATAGACAGAAGAGACTGAACTGTGTGTGTTTAAATAGAAAGTGAGCTTCAGAATGCTTGACTAGCACATGTAGTCGTCACATGACCACCTGGTTTTTAAACAAATCTTCCTCTATTGCTGTGACAGGATGGGACATTGACATTTACATAGACAGAAACATTTTCTGTCAAAGGAAGAAATGTCAAAGGGAGTGAGTTTTTATAAAGTAAGCTGTCAAGAATAAACGGAATACTCTTATACTTGATCCTCTTGGAATTAAAGTACTAAGCACATTGAATAAATTTTTAATTAAGAAAAACCTGGCTGGGGCTGGAGAGATGGCTCAGAGGTTAAGAGCACTGGCTGCTCTTCCAGAGGTCCTGAGTTCAATTCCCAGCAACCACATGGTGGCTCACAACCATCTGTACTGAGATCTGGCGCCCTGCTCTGGTGTGCGGGCATACATCAAGGCAGAATGTTGTATACATAATAAATAAATCTTTTAAAAAAAAAAACCTGGCTTCTCAGAAAGACCAGGCCAAGTTTGAAATTCTTCTTTGCCTTACAATTAAATAAGAGATCGAAAATACTAAATATTCCATGTCAGATTTTCCTATTAAGAGAGAACTATTAAAAGTCTATAAAGTATTAAAAAGAAGTGATGTGTAAGAACTTTAAAAACTAATTGTATAATGGAAGCATTTTGAGCAAATGTAGCCAAATCATACGAACATGTTAAAGCCTAGCAAAGTTGTTTAAACACGACATGGGTGACCATTTAGATAACTGGCTTTTGCAATGACAACACAATACTGAGATGTCCCAAACCACCTCTAAATCACTACAGAAGAAAGCACTGAAAGTGTGTACAATGTTATGCCAAAGCAAAGAGGTATAGAGTATAGAACACATAATCTACCTCCATGCACTCATAACCAAACTGTGCTGCCCCCTGGCCCCTATCCCCTCTGCTTGTTGTCATGGGCAAGGTACCTAAGAAACATTTCATTACTGTGACATTGCTAATGACCTCCAATTTGATCTTCTGTGTTAGGACTATACTTTTTTTCTTAAATATTTTTGTCATATATAACACATTTATACTTTTCTAAGTACCAGAGGGCGTTTGACAGGGTGACAGGCTGGCTATAGCTCTATCTTCATTTTTCACACCAATTTAATTTTAATCTTTGAGATGATCCTCTTGTGTCAGCTTCTTAGGCACTACAGTCACGGGTGTGCACCAGCTTATCCATGATTCCTTGTCTCATCCTTACATCTGAATGTCATCTCGATTTATTCTAACAGCAAGCAAAGTCCATGTGTAATACTGCATTGCATTTGCTGATGTCCATCATTGAATTCATGATAACTTCAAAAGTAATTACACGGAGCATAGCACTAGAGGGCCCATTCTAGAGTATGGCATTCTGTTTATCGCTAGTGGAGTCCAATGGACATACCTGTTCTCTCACACATCTGAGATAGCAAAAGCAGCAAGAGTCCAAAGAAAAATAAACTTTTACCCTCTGCTGTGCCACTATGTTGTTGGTTAGTAGGAAATCAGAGAAAGTTTTCAGTCATTGGGAATGATCATCATAGCATTAACTGGGTTCAGAAAGGATCATTCCTCTACTGTTCATACTTTAAATTGCTTGGTCACCAGTTCAAATCCGGTCTACCTCTGTAGGTGAGATGTTATAGGAATGGAAGTCCAGCAATAAGAAAAGGTTGTGGAAAAAATCCTAATTATTCTTGGAGGCTAAGGAGGAGTTTGCTGCTATAGATTCTGAAAATGTTATGCATGGCAACATAGACAAAATGTTCTAAAATTAGAGATTAGACATGATTTCATTATTCTCTAAGACAGTGTGACTTGTAACTGACTCAATCTGTGTTAAACATTCACCAATAAGAAGAATCTTAAAGGAAAACATAAACTCCTGAGTACCTTCCGCTGCTTCTTGTCACTGCCAAACCTTCCTGTTTGTTCTTTCTTGGGTCTCAGTTGTGCTGTTGTGACTCCTGAGAGACACATGGTATAGTTAAAATCAGACATTAAAACAGTAGCACAAGCATCGTCATCAACTTAACTGATGATACAAATGTTGGAAAAGTAAATGAAAAAGAGCTGGGTTTTTAAGTTAACAACTAAAGGGTTAGATTCACCTCAATATTCAAGTAGGTATCTACTGGCTTGGGAAATGAATACAATTATCTAGAGAGTCATACTCCAAACAGACACATAGGCAGAGGCACTGTGTCACAGTTAACCACATATGTGGAAGACACATGCACAAGTGATTCCAGTAGACACAAACTAGCCCGACTTTGGAAACAGAATGGGTTGGTGTGGTGCTTTGAAAGAAAATAACCCCCAAAGAGGGAGTGGTTCTATAATGAGGTGTGACCTTGTTGGAGGAAGTGTGTCACTGTGTGGGGAGGCTTTGAGGTCTCATTTGCTCAAGTTTCTTTCAGTGTGACAATCAGTAAACTTCTTGTTGCCTGCAAGCTGTAGCAATCTCAGCTATTCCTCCAGCACCATATCTGCCTATCCACTGCCATGTCCCCTCTCATGAAGATAATGGACTGAACCTCTGAAACTGTTAGTGGGACACCTCAATTAAAAGTTTTCTTTAGAAGAGTCGCTGTGGTCATGGTGTCTCTTGACAGTAATTAAAAACCCTGAGAAGTTAGCACATGGAATCACTACCACCACACTGCATACTACTCTCTACCTGGGGAAAGGAATAGGAATATCTCTTAGACATTTATTTTCTTCTTTTTTTCGAGACAGGGTTTACTCTCTAGCTTTGGAGCCTGTCTTGGAACTAGCTTTTGTAGACCTGGCTGCCCTTGAACTCACAGAGATTCACCTGCCTCTGCCTCAGATTCACCTGATTAAAGGCATGTACCACCACCGACCAGCTTCTCGACATTTTCATAACTAAATTAGGTCTTACACTTCTTATCTCCTTCCTGTCTGAAATGCTTTGCTCTACTTTTTGATCAGCCTCTTCCTTCTTATAAAACTTCACTCCTGTATTGCTGGTGGGAGTGCAAACTGGTACAGCTCCTTTGGATGTCAGTATGGAGATTTTTTAGAAAATCTTCCTCAAGACCCAGCAATAACACTTTTGTGTATATACCCAAAAGATTCTCAATCATACCAAAGGACATGTGCTCAACTATGTTCATAGCAGCATTGTTAACCATAGCCAGAACCTGGAAACAACCTAAATGCCCCTCGACTGAAGAATGAATAAAGAAAATGTGGTACATTTACACAATGAAATACTACACAGGAAAAAAAAATAATGATGATATCTTGAAATTTGTAGTCAAATGGATGAAGATAGACAACATTGTACTGAGTGAAGTAACCCAGTCCCAGAAAGGCAAACATCGTATGTACTCACTCATAAGTGACTTTTAGACATAAAGCAAAGAAAACCAGCCTATAATTCACAATCCCAGAGAACCTAGACAATAATGAGGACCCTAAGAGAGACATACATGAATCTCTAATCTACATGGGAAGTAGAAAAAGACAAGATCTCCTGAGTAAATTGGGAGCATGGGGACCATGGGTGAAGATAGAAGGGGAGGGAACAAAAAGGGAGGGGAGCAGAGAAAATGTATAGCTCAATAAAATCAATTTTAAAAAAAATTTTTTAAACTTCACAGTATCAGAATTCTTCCTGGATAGTAGTTCTTATTCTCCAGGTCGGCATGTACGGCTTCCTTTTAACTGCCTTAGAAGTTTTTCCATTTTTCAAACATTTAATTTTCATTGGAGTTGTCAATTATTTCCTTGGATTGTAAACTCTTTTACTCTTGTCCTACTTGTGGCAATGTTAAATCATCTTTTGTATAATTGGCATCATATTTATTTTACTAATAATCATTTCTTGGGGTTTTACTAGGCTGGTGTATGTAGGATTTGGAGGATGAAGAGTAATATGTCAGTGATGATCATACACAGGTATTGTCTGAGGTGACTCATAAACGCTAAGTTATTGGAAGTAGAGACAAAAAAGCATAAGAGTATATAAGACATGAGAGAGAGAGGCAGGGATTATTGATGGAGGAGTAACATTACAAGACATTAACGTATTTACATGTTTGACTGGACATTGCTGTTTATCTATCACAAAGAAAACCTAGATAAATAAGACCAAATATTGCAGCCCAACGTCCTCCCAGTAACGAGGCAGGCAGGATACATGGTGTCTTCTAATTTCAGGCTCTTATATTCTGTGGTCCTCTACCTCATAATAATTCCCCCTATATTTCTAATAGTCACCCTTCAGTTTGTAAAGAATCTATTTGCACACTCTCTCCTACACACACCACTAAGACTCCTTTCATTTAATCCCTGTAACTTTGTCTACTTTAATCTCTTTTTTTACTTTTTTTTACTTTAATCTTTTTAAACACTATTCCATTTCTTAATATTTCTCATAATATGTAAAGACATTAGTATTTCTGTTCATATATCAGCTCTCTCAGGGACACTTTCAATGATGTAACTTTGTCAGAAGCTTAAATATACAGATTTCTGTCATGAAAGACTAGATTTTAGTTCATGAATATTGGCTGGGCAGTTGTCTTTGGTGAAGAGACAACATGAAGTAACCAAAGTTCCATCTTCATGTTTTAACAGGCATTCCTTGCTATGACTATAAAGTTCGTTTGCGGGGAGAAAGTTTCAAGACAGGGTTTCTCTGTAGCTTTGGAGCCTGTACTGGAACTTGCTTTGTAGACCAGGCTGGCCTCGAACTCACAGAGATCAGCCTGTTCTGCCTTCTGAGTGCTGGGACTTTATAAAGGCATGTGCCACCATTGCCTGCCTCAACTATAGAGTTCTTACCTCTCTCTTCAGCAGCATGTTTCACACGTACTTCAGGATTTACACACACTCGGACGTTCCATTTCAGTTGAAGTTGCTCAAAAAAAGGCTGTTAAAATTAGAATCAGTAAGTACTTGCACAGAGATTTCCTAACCACTCTCCAAGAATATCACAACATCTTTTTTAAAAGCAAATAGCTATAAATAAAAGATGCATGTCCTGAAAAATAAACATAGATACGTAGATATATCGATGATAGATAGATAGATAGATAGATAGATAGATAGATCCTTATTTATACTTTCTAAGTAACATCTCTATTTCTTCATACAATGACTGAACCTAGAAGTCCATTGGTTTATGTTTTTACTTTGCAAGTAGTTGGAATTTGAGCAATGATGAAGAGATTATGCAAGAAACTCAAGGATAAGGTCTAGGCACTTGGTTATTATAGATACTGAAGTCAGCATATATTGTGCACTAAAGAGGAAGAAGGGTACTGAAATTAAATATTAGATGATGGTCTCATTTCTACTTAGTTCTGTGCAGTGTAGGACAGCCCTCTTCACCAGTGAGGAGAGTCTTAATGTGAAAATTCAAATTGCTGAATACCTTCCTCTGCTTCTTGCCACTGCCACACCTTCCTGTCTGCTCCTCCTCCGACCTCAGCTGTGCAGTTTTGACACCTGACGAGCACATATGTGAAAGGTCATCCAAGAAAGCAGTGAAATAAACACTACCAGCTACAAACTCATAGATGCAAAAATTTCAAAAGTGAACAATAAAATGTTGGATTTTCATTTTGCAACAAAATTTTCAACTAATCTTGATATTCAACAAGATGTTTTCTGATGCAGAACATAAATGTCATCATCAAAGCTTCCTAGATATTACATATAGACAATAGGAGTAAAAATATTCATCCCTTTATATATGTGCCAAAGATATATGCACTCGTTATTCCAAAAAACAGAAATGAACACATCTTCAGTAACAAAATTGTCCATGTGAATCGCATATTTTCACAGTGCTCATTCTTCTCTATTTGCTAAAACACACTGAAGAGCCTCTAGGCATATCTTTATCCTGGTTACCCCTCATTCCTGCAATGTTTGTGCCTAAATATTTTATTTTTCAGTATAGAAGTGACATTTTTTAAGAGTTTGCAAAATTAGTATTTTACTTGTTTTTCTTTGAAATTATTCATTGAATTTGACTGGTTTCTGGCCCTGGAATTTAAAGGGGTAAGCAGATATTGCATTGTTGATTTGCCTATTAACAAGAGGGGAAGTATATAGTGACCAGAGCGGTAAGACAGGATGTGAGGCATTCTAATGGAATCACCACCGAGTTTCAGCTTGCAGATATGTCTAAGATTATAGGGAGGATTGAGGTAGACATCATCTTAGTAGTAGTGCATGAGAAAGTCATAGAAATGGTGAAGGGCTGGAAAAGGTGGGCTGAAAAAAAATAGGTCATTAAGGTTTACAGTATAGTTCTGAGTCAGTGAGCTCCCATTAACTCAGATCAGCTGTTTCAGTGGGTTTCCCCATCATGGTCTTTACCCCTTTGTTTATATTATCACTTCTCACTCTCTTTGACTGGATTTTGGGAGCTCAGGTCAGTGCTTTGTTACGGATCTCTGTGTCTGCTTCCATCAGTTGCAGGATGAAGGTTCTATGATGACAGTTAAGGTAGTCATCAGTCTGACTGCAGAGCAAGGCCAGTTCAGACACTCTCTCCACTATTGCTTAGGCTCTTAGCTGAGGTCATCCTTGTAGATTCCTGGGAATTTCCCTAGTGCCAGGTTTCTTGCTAGTCCCATAATGGTTGCCTCAATCAAGATACTTCTTTCTTTGTTCTCCCTCTCTGTCCTTCCCTCATCTCGACCTTCCTGTTCCCTCATGTTCTCTTCCTCCCCTCTTTCTCCCCTCCTCCTTTCCTCTGCCCTCCTTTCTTCCCCACTCCCACGTTTCCAGTTTTCTCATAAGTTCTTGTCTATTTACCCTTCCCAGAGGATCCATGTATGTTTCTGTTAGGGTTCTTCTTGTTATCTAGTTTCTCTGGGGCTGTGGACTATAGGCTGGTTAACCTTTGCTTTGTATCTAATATCCACTTATGAGTGAGTGCATAAAATGAAGGGAAGGTGAAGTAAGAGGGAGGAGGGGAGAGAGTGGGAATGGGATTGGTATGTAAAATTTCAATTAAATACAATCAAATATTTTTTTAAAAATGTTTACTGTACAATGTTAAGATGCTTGAACACTAACATTTGAAGGGAAAATTCATTTCTCACTTTTGCAACCAAAGAAGATCAACTTAAGATATGAGAAGGACAATATTTTTGGGTGGCATATTACAAACATAGAGACAAATTATCAAGTAGAATGCAAAACTGCAAACTCATGAAATCCTGAATGTAATAAAAGGTTTCAAAACATTTAACAATACTAACTCAGAAAAATATTTAAGAAAAAAATAATTGGAAGAGGGTAAATATAAAGTTGGACCCCTAACAGCTAGACACTGCTTTCTCTTGAAACACGATGAGAATTAAGTGACACCATTGCTGCTTTCTTTCCCCTTTCTCCTATCTCCCTGTGTTGGTAAATTTTATTTAACATTTCTCATGAATGTGTGTTTCTTGTAAAAAAATAATTAATAAACTATATGATGAATAGGTTTCAGTTCATGCCCATTGTACATAAGTGAAGCCTTACCCCCAAAACAATTTATGCTGAAAAAAACTATAATTATAACCAAATCAGAAGAAAAACCATCCAAAGGTTATCAATTCAAAGAGTATATAAATTTGGATTTGCTCTTGTCAGCAATTGTGTTTGCATGTAACTGAAACTGATCTATAAATATGAAATGTATTCTTTTGGTTATGGATACTAAGACAAGCTGTTTTATTGCAATATGTAAATTTCTGGTGCCGTCTAAATATCATGGTTGACTAGGGCCGCTGACTTAAGAAGCACGTTAATCAAAACACAAATTATATAGATAATACCTACAGACTATTTCCACAACATATTAAAAAAAATACTATCTGTTTTTACTAGACCAGTTTTTATAGACTTTGTCTTTGAGAATTCCATACATTGGGCTCTCATCATCTTCACCATAGCTCCTCCCAGATCTAGTCCTATACACCTCACTTTGTGTCCTTTTTTTTTTTTTTAATTATGTTCAATTTGTGCTGCCCGTGTATTCTTGGGTCTATGGCACTCCACGGGTGAGGTGGGAGTGACTTCCTGCTGCTCCTTCTACACACGGGAGTGTGGTCAGTATACCTGGGTCTGCACTTTGACAGAACACTGACACCGCCTCTCTCAGGGGAAGACAGGGCTTCCTGCCCACCTCCCTTCTGCATGCTAAGATTCATTTGGCCTTGCGCTTTCACAGGTTTCGGGCATTCTGTCATAACCTCTGTGACATAATACATGATACTCCTAGGACGCTCAGCACTCCTGGTCATGCCTCAGCCTCCCGGTTAACTGGATGTGAATGCACAGATGACTTTGAGGAAATGCTCAAGAAGACGTGCATCCTGGCGTCTAATACCTGATCTCAACTTATCACTAGGAAACATGTGGATTCCAAAACTGGGACACAACTGAGCTGATCCGAAGTGCGCAAGTGGAAACTCTTCTTGTGGAAAACCAAATCTTAATCAGCAAATAACTCAGTGTGTTAGATAATCATGCTGAAATGATATTCACATTTCATATATTTAGTCCTTCCACTAAATTAAAGAAGTATATTGTAGGGAATAAAAGACTGGACATTTTGAATTTCATAAGCGCTCGTTTCAGGGAAATAGCTACTGATAAATGTACCTGCCGTGAGTGATTCTTCCTGCTTCACTGTTGAGTCTTCCATTAACACTAAGTCTTGATTTTCAATGGCATCCTGCATGAGTTTGAAACAAGATGTTTGATGGTACGCCTGTACGTCATATAGTAGGACGTTAAGGATACAAAATAAGAACATTTTTACCTTTAATTCAGAGTATTCAGAATGAAGACCTGGAAAACCAGACACTTGCAATTAATTGCAGATTAGCATGACAAAGTCAGTCAAAATTTCATGTAGAAACAGTGTGAAAAATAATCACCAGAGTTATCATTGGGACTATTTCTTTTAAGATCGATGTTTGATTTATCCTACTTTGCTTGCTCTGTTAAACTCTTATTAGGAGATAAAGTAAAAGTCAAGCACAAAATGAGGTTTTTAACTTTGATGAAATGAAACTTTTTAAAGTGAGATTCCGATTTCAATAAACACAGGTAAATAGAAAAGACTCTGGTACCGATGCCAGTGTTCCGCTCCTAACTGATGGAGGGAAAGGCGACCTCTTCCATGAAAAGTTATTATCTAACCCAGATGTTAAAATGAACAGCAGCTGACACTGGAGATACTGCCAGTCGAACTTTCAGAATAAGAATCTGTTTTCTCCACATTATTAATTCAGGAAGGAGAACATAGTCATAAAATCTAGGGAAATACACAAGTCAATGTTTTGTTAAAGAAAGCTTTCCAATTCGAATAACCTCCATATTAATGGTAAAAATAATTATGCAATCAGTATTTCTCCTTTGTTGGTAGATATGGATTATCATGAAGACTACATTTCTTTTTTTCCATTCTGGTTACAATACAACCCCCTCTTTTTCTTCATATGACAGGGTTTTTCTGTGTAGCTCTTGTTTTACTGGAACTTGCTTTGTAGACCAGGCTGGCCTCAAATTCACAGAGACCCACCTACCTCTGCTTCCCAATGTTGGGACTAAAGATGTTTTTAAAAATACCCTACATTTTTAAGTAAATATTTCGCATAAGGTCTGATCAGTATCTAAAATGTAATAAAAATCCCTAAGAAGTTTACAGTAATAAAACAGGATTGTCAAATAAAAATAAACTGAATTTTCACAAAATTAGCATATACTAACCTAACCAATTACCTTAGTAATCAATACAACAGTCAATATAATGTACAGTCCTGGTGTGCTTTTTTCCAAAATTTTATTGGCTTGTTGTATTGTGTGAGTAGTCTCTTTGCTTCGAAATTATGTCCTGAGTCATTGGGATCTGACACCAGAATTAGAAACATGTAAACAAGTGTGTCAGGGATGGATGGTCCTTCAGAAGAGTCTGGACTTGACTCCTGTGGAATCAATTCTGAAAGATGGAGGGAAGACCCAGGGCATGAAACGCTATAGCAAAGAAGCGTTAAATAGCAAGAATATCAGTCTAAAGATAGTCGTAATTAGTAGAATCAGAGTACCTGATAGTAGCTGGAAAAAGCTGAAAATATAGTGTTCAGCAGGAGTCGCATTGTGAAACCTTTATGTGAAGCTTAAAGTTACACGGTGTAATTCTAAGGAGCATGGACAGTGATGTTTGCAGCTGAACTTCACATGCATCTTTGCCACTAAGATACATCTTCCTGCATGGCTAATATCCTTCCATCCTCTAAAATAACTATTTCTGCAGTCTCTACTCAAACAAAACTACCCGATTTTTCTTCATGTCCTTCCTATGCTCTTGGATGTCTTCACTTTTATTTCAACCCCACTGTTACTTCTCGTTTTTTTAATATTCATCACCTGAGAAACACTTAATAATGTAGCTCATCTCCACTTCGGAGTGTGGCTCTCGATTTAACCTGTTTTCCCAGACTTGGAGAAATATGGTGCTCATATGTCTGCAGGTGTATAAGCAATTGAGTTGAAACTTTCAGCGTCATCCTCAAGAGCACTCTCCACTCCTTTGAAGGCAGAGTCTCTCCTGCCCTGGGGCTCACCAATGAACCCAGGCTGGCTGGTGAGTGAGCTCCAGGTAGTCTCCTGCTCCTGCTTTCCTAATAAGCACATGTGACCAGGCTTGGCATTTCTATGTGAGTCCAGGGGTTCAAACTCACATCCTTACTTAAAATTGAAAAACATTACCAACTGAGTGTTTCTCCACCTCCCTCCATTTAAAAATAATAGAAGTTAAATATGTAATAGGTTATGTTGGGGTGGGTAGGAAAATATCTCACTCCCTCTGTCTTAAGAATTGTCAGGTAGATTTTAATTTTTTTTCAAGTGTGTGTGTGTGTGTGTGTGTGTGTGTACAATTAGCACATGTGGAGGTCAGAGGTCCCAGTTGCCTCTCAACTTCCACCTCATTGAGCCAAGGCCTCTCTTTTTCTTTCAGCTGGACAGCATGCTAGAGGAGAGCTGGCTGGACACTGCTGGCTGATTCTCCTACTCTGCCCTCCCATTTTGCTGCAGATATACACCACCACATGAGGCTTCATACATGGGTCCTTGGGATCCGTCTCGAGTTGTCAGGCTTCAGTAGCAAATGCTTTTATAACAAATCTCCCTGAGCCTCTTGAATGGAATTTAATCAAACAGAGTTCTTACCTTTCTCTTGGTCACTTACTGCATTGACTCCTCTTTCATCTTCAGCCATGGATGAATGTGCAGTGCCCATTGGTTGAGGTTGCTTGAACATATTTTTAAATTAGTGTCAATATTAAGTTGCATAAAGATTTCCTAATCGATTTTCAAAAAAAATTAATTTCTATTTTAAAATTAATTGTATTCAAAATGAAACAGTCATGGATGGAAACACAATTTAATGAAGATGGAAAGAAGGAAGAAGGAAGGAAACTAAGGAATAAAAGAAAGAGGGACATGCACTTCATTGGAAAATATATATATTTAAATCAGGAGACCCGAGTTATTCTCTTATACCTATAACTACCTATTGAATATTCACTAATATTGTATGCGACCCATTTGCTAACTGAAATTGATTCAGTCAGCCACTGACTGATTGAAATTTATTCTTTGGAGGATAACACCAAAAGTCACATTCTATAGTTATTATTCTCCTTAGAGGCAATAGGGTGGGTGACATGTCTCTCAGATAACAGAGATGCTGACAAGTAGAGAACTAAATGAGGCATCGAAACTTTAAGTTGTGAAATACTTAACAATAGGTAATACAATTTTGAGTCACTAAGATAATAATTCCTCGGCGTGAATTAAATTCAGGGGAAATAGCTCTCATGCTGCTCAAAATTTTAATTTCTGACTGATATAACTCAAATTTGACTGCCTTTAACATGTGAAGACATTAAAAGACTGAAAATTACCCAAACATGATCTTTTAATTGAAACAAATCCAAGGATAAAGTTTATTTTATGCCACTATTGATTCTAAAACTAGTGTGTTGCCTAGCTACATAGTTTGAAATTAAATATTAAATCATAGTCTGATGATTCTCAATGGAAGTCAAAAAGTAACTACATATAATCCATGAATTCAGCATTTGCCAGTGAAAATCTTAAAACAAGAATCTATTTAAATATGTATGTACCTTTAGGTGTTCCCCTTCATTGTCATTAGGCCATTCTTGTTCTTCCTCTGATGATGAGTATACGTCTGATTCTGACAAATCCATATAATTAGTTAAGATAAACTACAAAGACAATTTGATAAATAAAATACAGAGAGAAAAATCTAATAATTAGTGCTAATACAAAATAGGCATTCGGTTACTAATTTAGGAACTTTGATTTAGTCACATCACTGGAGGAGAACTATTTTATCAATATCAACCTACAATATCAGCTACAACCCTGCAGCAACAGTGACCTGCCTGCGGGACATACAGTGGCACAAATATTATGAGAGAAACCTACCACTTTCTGATTGAACTTAAGGCCCACTCTTGGACCCTCAGTAAAGAATTCAAAAATCTGAGATTGGAAGGCCATGGGTCTAAGAGAAAACCTACTGGTACTTTTCTGCTAAAGGAACATGCAATAAGATGACTCCTAATGACATGATGAGGTCACCATAGAACAGTACTTCCCTCAACCCTCGTCAGAAAAGCTTCTTCTTGTAGTGGGTAAGAACTGACCTAGAGAAGCACAACTGGACAATGCACAGTGAGTGAAAGATGTGGGAGCCCTCAGTCCTAAGTGGGGTGTCTTTATCAAGCCCCTGCCCTCAGGACTCAGGGGTCTACGCACAAGCAGATGTAGAGAAGGTGTAAGGCCGGAGCAGACGGGTGATTCCGAAGAGAAAGCATCTTTCAGGTGCAGCGGGACTGAAACACAGATGCGCTCACGGAGATTTGCGCAGCATAGGTAAGACCTGCGCAGATTCAAACCAGACACAATGCCAGAACTACAAAGACAGAGTGGACACAAGTTCCCACGCCTAGCCAAGAAGCTATTTGCAATCGCTACCTTCTGACAAAGGGGAAATCACTCACTCAAATGGTATGTCACCAGAGTGGCAACCACACTCTAGGGACAGTTCCATGCCCATGAGTCAGCACAAAATAAACTCCATATTTTTTGGTGGTGGGGGGGGGGTGTTCTTATTTGGTTTAGTTTTATCTTGGCGTATTTTTTGTCGTGTTGATTTTCTTCATTTGTTTATTTTGATTTCCTTTTCATGGTTTTTATATTTTAAAAAAGGGGAGAACAAAGTTGGGTGGGTAGAGAGGTGGCAAGGATCTGTGGAGTCGGGGGAGGGGAAATACACTAATCTTCACCTGTTCACTTTAAGGTATCATGTATATTTGGAGGTAAGATGAGTTTTTTGGAAACAGCAGAAAGATGGATTCTGTTTCGTAATTAGTTCAGTTAACCTGTATATTTTGATGGGGAAACTGAATCCATTAAATATTTGAAGTTTCTTTGAAAGGTGTCTGTTGATTGCTCTCATTTTTTGTTGCTGCTGCTGCTATTGTTTGCTGTGTTCTTGGTCCTACACTCACTTAGGAAATAGATCAACTATCAGAAGCTCCAATATGTCACTTCTACAATAAGTCAGTTCCATGAATAAGGCCTGTACAGAGCTCAAACACGCACGCACAAATTATTCTACTAAAGAAAATGGACACACCAGGAAGTAGCAAACCTGAAACATAAGAAAACCAAATGAGATCATACCGGGCACTCCTCTCTAATAGTCCTACTTTACCTTTCAATACTATGATTGAACAAGCTATGGAGGAGGGATCTGTTTCAGCTTATACTTCCTACTCTATCACCAAAGCAGGAGCTCCCAGCAGGACCTGGGAGCAGGAACCGAAGCAAAGAGACCACAGAGGAAGGCAGCTTACAAGTTTGCTCAGCTTGCTTTCTTATACAACACAGGACTGCCTGCCCAAGGGTGGCACCAATGTAGTCATTAATTAAGATGTTTCCACAGACTTGCCAACAGGCCAACCTGATAGAAGCACTTTCTCAACTAAAGTTTACTATTCCCCCAATTGAATTCTTAGTGTACATAGTGTACTTAGTGAACTAGTCAGATAGCTCAGAATACCTCATACATGTGCCATATCAAGAAAACTCTAGTCTCTGCACCGTTATTAAGCAGGTACCTCTACAAACAATATTCATCTAAGTGTTTTTAAACTATGCAAAATCCATTGACTTTTGCACATGCATGCAGGTGTTCCGTAGGAAGCATGCTGATTCAGAAACGCGAGTTTTGAGTTCTGACACTAAGCTATAGTCAGAAATGTGAAGAGAGTATGTTAAATTACTGAATAACTTCCTGGAAAGATAATGACAACAGTGACACTTCATTTGTACCAAATCCTCACGTGAAAGTTGAAGAGCAGGGGAATGACACTTCAAAGACCATGTGCATTCTGTGTTTTGAAGCATTTTCCCAGACAGACGGCGGACTGTACCTGGGCCAAATGCTTTTACTTCTTTCCTTGCTGGTGCTTTGCATGGAAGAGGAGTTTTCATCTGTACAGGTTTTAAAACAAGACATGTAATAGCCGTTGTGGGACTGTATAAACAGTTCAGTGGTTAAGAGCATTTGCTGTTCAAACAGTAAGACCAGAGTTGGGAATCTGATACCCAAGTAACAAGCCAAGCATCCACCAAACACATCTAAACTCATCCAGTGCCATTTTATGGCCTCTATGCATGCATAGGCAAATCTACAACCACACACATATACACATACCCTCAGGTGGATAGACAAAAATAATACATCTCTTTAAAAGTAACATTTGCTTGTTATAAATAGTATGAATTAAATGATGCAAGATAAAATCTAAAACGTATTACCTTCCATTGAGCATATTCTTCAAGGGAATCTAAAGAGTCAGAGACATATTATTTGTGAGCATGATAAAGTTAAGTATACCTTCCATATAAAATTACTATAAAAATATTCCAGGTTTCTAGCTTTCAAAATATTACTAATTTTAGTTTGGAGACATCCCTTTTGTTTTTCTCTTCTAATTGAAGGAAAACAACCTACATCAGTATGGCATTCCTAACTGTTGGAAGACAAAATGAAACTGGGATTATGGGATGATCTTGTGACCCAAAATTATTTTTAAGCGCTGACTGTAGGAAGAAGCAGAACGGCTGTTTAGCAAGAGAGTTCAGCATCATTCATGCCAGTATTGAATGAGAGTTTGCCATGACCTTCATATATGATAAACTTTGGAAGCTCAAAGAAGACTCAATGTTTAGAGAAAGGAGAATCTGCGCTCCTGAAAACATTGCTCATTTTTGCGTGTGTGTAAACTACTTTTAGGACCATGTTTCTGGGTTGCCCCTAGTTTTCACACCTGAAACATTTTTAGTGAGCACTTTGGAAATAGTGTGTGAACCTAACCACGTGGTAGGAATAAGAAGTTGTTAGTGCTGGCTGATTGCCAAAGTTTAAAGATATCCTAGTTTTACAGGCTAACAGGAGATATTACTAAGGTGTTCCATGTGAAATGTAGCCATGTTTACACAAGACACAGTCCTGCCACTGTAGTGCATGGTTATCACTGGATTATACCAAACCTGCGCTTCTACAAATTGGCTTCTTTCTTCATGTGCATCCCACTCTAGATGGGAAGTTAACATAACCAGGGCCTTTGCTGCCTCCGTGTTTTCCATGGTCAGTGGAGAACTGAGTGCCAGCCACCCGCCATGGTTTTCCCCCCTCGCTCTTCTTCCAATAATCTATATAGGAAAATATTCTCTACTTGAATTTGGAGGATAGCATGAGAAGCTCATGTGAAATGAGTTGACTACTCCCAAGTTCCTCATCTGTGACTGACTCTACATGGGCTTCCCAACCCTTCACTGTCTTTCTTAATCGTCACTATTCCTTCCGGTTCTCCAAAATCCTGAGAGGAAAATACCTCATGATTTAAATCATCGTTCACTCTCTCAGTAATATTCTCAATTTAACCTGCTTTGAAAAATTAAGATCTAATTATTGCCACTTAAAATACCCTGAAAATGCCTTTATTTTCAATTATCTACGCCAACAATGACCTCTGAGGTATTTAGCTCAATACAATAGTAAAATATATGAAGTTTTTTATTATTCTCTCATACAATACATTCCAACTACAGTTCCCCTCCCTCCAACTCCTCCCAAGTCTCCACCTATTTCCCCTCTCCCCAGATCCACTACTCCCCTATTCCCCCATCAGAAAAGAGTAGTCCAATATCAACCAAACACAGCACAACAAGTTACAATCAGACTAGGCACAAACCCACCTGGACTTTTTTTCTTAAGAGGGAATGAGAAACTTCTGAGCACTTGGAAAATCTTAAAATGTTTCCTACTATCTAGGATAATTTTATGGCATAGTTTACCTGATTTGAAGGCTGGCGTGTTCTTTGTTGTCGATGCTTCTTTGAAATCATCATCTTTGATTTCAATAGGAGTCTGGATGGGTTTTGAAACAGGACACTTAGTAAATATTGCATATGTCATCCAATGTTGATGCTCATCATCCAAGATAAAGTACAATCGTGATTACCGTCAATTGAGAATGCTCCTCGTCAAACTCTAAAATGCCAAACGGACACCAGTCAATCATAATGTTATCAAACTGAGTCCTCACGTTTTCCTTTAATAATAATTAAAGGGGGGATTGGGCAACTTTTGGGTTGTTTTCTTGTTTTCTGATTGAGGCAGCTATGTTAAAGAAATACCATGAATAAAAATAAGAGAAGAGCTTTCAACAAATATTTTCAGCGGAGATTGTGAATCTACTGACTCTACCAGAAGCAGAATTGGCACCCATGCCAATGTGGCGAGCGCACTGATGGATGAGGAGAAAAAGGACCTTTAAACCAGAGAGCAAAGCATGACTCTGTGGACACTGGACTGCCAAAGATGTGGGGAGAGTGGGACATCATATATGTCACTAAAATACTGTCAACAGTTTGGATCGGTAAGGATGATATTTGTTACCTTCTTCAGTTCACACCATAAATTATGAAGAACACACTAGTGGTAAGTTTTCCAAGAAAGTTCTCTGAACTAACTATCTTTGATGGTGTTCTTCCAAAAAATAAAAGTTACAATATTCTTTTCCTACACTCTTGTTGTTGACTGGCGTGGCTCAATTTTTGTATTTAGTTTAGATATCTTGGTGTATTCGTGTGTGTGTGTGTGGTTTTTCGAGACAGGATTTCTCTGTGTAGCTTTGGCTGTCCTGGAACTCACTCTGAAGACCAGGTTGGCCTCAGACCTACAGAGATCTGCCTGCCTCTGTCTCCCGAGAGCTGGGATTAAAGGCGTGCACCGCCACCACTCGACCCTAGTTTACATATCCTACTGCTTCTCAATCATATGAGAAGTTATGTGAACCACATGTGCAGCATAATGTGCAAGACATCAGTAGTGAAATGTGATTATCCAACGGAAATGTAAATTGACTTTTCAGGTAAATAGATAAAATAAAATAAATAAAAAGATAGTAGAAGCCTGTTACATGTGAAATCCATGTCGTATGTATTAAACAAGTATAGGGATATTGTAGTCCACTTCTTAGACATATTTAAATACTGGAAGCTTAGTTTATGTTTCTATAGCATCTATAATGCCGCTCCATGATTTAGCTAAACTATTCTCATAACTTGCCCTCTCTGCTGTATATAAAGCCTCATTTCCCATCACTCACTCCCTCCAATCACACTGTTCTTGTTTTGCATTCTCCTTCCATCCTTTCCTTAATCTCAGAATTCCTTGGGTGCTAGAAAACCCTGTAATGTACCTCATAGTCCAGATCTTTCTGTAACACATTAAGCATGTTGCTAGAATTTGACGTTATTCAACTTGCTATTTAAATTTCTTATTTCTTACTAAATACTTATAATACTTTTAGTATCACGTGGCAGTCATCTGTTTTGAATAAGTAAGTCATCACATAGTTTTCAAAATAAAATTCTATTCCTACCTTTCATTTGTCCACTGATATTAATGTTTCCCATTTGATATCCTGTACCAGATAAATGGCCAACATTCTTTTGTGGAAGATGCTCCAAGGTACTCTGTTAAAATAAGTGTCAATACATTACATAAATGTCTCGTAGCTGCCTTCTGAGGAAATATCTCTTTTTCCAACTTCAAAAGCAATTAAACTAGAAAATAAATATAAGTTGTACAGACAGTAAAGCCCTTGATGAGGATGTTGTATATGCTCTTTATATCAGTTTAATCCTTTTCTGTCATTTGGTTGCAAACTGATCATGGAAAGCCAGAGGAAGCAAATGTGTGTATACAATAATGGCTAATCTGCACGTTTCAATAAGAATTAACTTCTAAATACCTAACTCTACCTTGCATTCCCATGAAAGGAGAATTCTCAAAAATACTTATTTAGGCAAATTTTATTGAAAAATAGGACCACTAGCTATAAAGTATAATGTTTAACATTTAGAATACTTCCCCGATGATAGAACTTGTCTTAGAGGCAGAAGAAGACATTTTTACATAAAAAGAATTCCTAGCTTGTCGTGTTAGGTATAAACAAAACACTAAAGAAGTTGTTTAGTATGGGTAAACAATCTTTAAATCATGTAAGTTTTTGTATAAAATGGTTACTGTTAGAGAAATGCTTACATGAGTGTGTATATGTTGATATTAGGATAGTTACACCAGCTTATTTCTCAGGTCCATTTGATTGGAAAATCTTCCCCCAACTCTTTACTCTGAAGTCTGTCTTTGATGCTGAAGTGTGTTCCTTGTAAGCAGCAAAGGATGAATTCTGTTTTGTATTCAATCTGTTAATCTGTGTCTTTTAATAGGAGAGTTGAGTTCATTTATATTAGGGGATATTAATGGCCAGTGATTGCTAGTTCCTGTTATTTTGTTTTTGTTGTTGGTGATGTTATTGCGTGTGTTTTCCCCTTCCTTGAGATTTGCTGCTGTGAGATCATCTATTGTCTGTATTTTTTTGGATGTAGCTAACTTCCTTGGGTTGGAGTTTTCCTTCTAGTACTTTGTGTAGGGCTAGGTTTGTGGCTAGGTATTGCTTTTTTATTATTTTTGTTTGTTTGTTATTTTTCTATTCATAAATTTACACTTCCTCCCCTCCTCCCATTCCCCTCCCGCTCCCCCACTCATCCTCCGCTCTCCCCCTCCCTGCTTGAGAGATGCAGAGATGGTTCAAGATATGAAAATCTGTCAATGTAACCCACCATATGAACAAAATGAGGAAAAAAGAGCACGTGATAATCTCATTAGATACTAAAAAAGCCTTTGACAATATCCAGCACCCCTTTATGATAAAGGTCTTGGAGAGAGCAGGAATACAAGGAACATAGAATTAAACATAATAAAGGCAATATACAGCAAACCAAAGCCAACATCAAGCTAAATAGAGAGCCATTTGTGAACCCAGCTTTCAGTTCCTCTTCCTTCTCCACTGAATGTAATAGATGCATGGTTAAAGGGGTGGGGGCTGTGCATGGTGACGTGGGTAGGGAATTGGGCTGGGTCTGGAGGGAGTTGGTGGACTATGATCAAAACACATTGTGCAAAATCTCAAATGACAATTTTTTTCAAGTTTAACTAAAAATTAGTAGGGTGTATAAGAATATTTTAAAGTTTTGTTTCATTTTTTGTTTTGAGGGTTTCTCTGTGTAGCCCTGGCTGCTCTGGAACTTGCTAGGTTAAATTTTATAACAAGGGAAAATATTTTAAACATTCACTATTTCGTTAGAATTTATCGATTCTAGCAAGTAATCTAAAAACTTGACTTCATGTGGCTGATGCGATACTACTAAACAAAGGAAAGCAATACTGTGTGACATTTAAAATTAAAGTTTTCATACCAGCAGCTGATTGTTTTCACTTTCATCGGGAATATCTTCCTCCACTGATATCAATTCTAACTCTGGTTCTGTGGGCAAATACATTTATTTAATTAAATTACATAGACTTCATAGAAAGCAATATTGTCTGCATGTTAAAAGGACTGTTTAAACCACTTAAAAACAACATTGCGTTGTTGCTTACCAAGTAGAATTACAGTTAAGGCTATCTTGAGCTGGAAGTTTCTAGAGGGCTAAAGCGATGGTTCTCAACCTGGGGGTCATCGGATATTTCCTCATAAACAGCAGAGGGTGCCATACATCTTTAGGATTTGTACATCCACTCATCCACTCAACCTAAGCGATTAAAGCCTCCAGAAACAATTTCCAAAGACACTGGCAGCGAATAAATTCATAACGCACATTAATTTTTATCTTATAATGTTGCATTTTAAACCATCTGCTAAGCATTTTTGATCACAAAATGACAGCAAAGTCATACATTGCTGCCTGTGGTCACACGGTTTCCGACATGTGAAAATGTTTGCGCCACGGTCGGGCACATTTTTCTTTCCTAATGTCAGGTTAGTGCACCGAGTCTTCCCTCACTTCGGCTTTCAGCTCTCGGGGGACTGTAAATTATTCCTCCCACGTCTCCCTCTCACCGCAGCACGAGAGCTGTCAATCTTTGCCATTACCCTTGTAGAGTCAGTTTTTTTCTTGATTTTACTCAATAATGATTTTTGTATTCTGATAGTAAGTGGCATGAGGTTTTGCAGAATGGAAATAAAATATTAGAGATGAATTTTTCTCTAGTTTGTGGGTGATTTGACAATTAAGAGGTAAAGCATAACGGGACTTTGGGGGGGGGAGGGGATGAAAGGAAGAAAAATGTTAAGTGCAGCCAAGACACTTTTTATAAGTATCTTTAAAATCTAAAGTCAATCATGTGAAATTGTAATTAGTGATTTGTGTTTACAAATAGGACACGTGACTGAATAATAGGACTAATTTCACAGATACAAAAAAAAGGGAGAAAAAAAAAACACTTTAGATCCAGACTTCAACATGGGCTGGATTCCCCTAGTAGGAATAAAATTGCTTTTCTTGATTTTGATATGCTACTTTCTACACACTGGTCTGAAACCTCCTGGGCAAAATGGATGTCTAGTTAGAGTCTCTCCGGACCTAGGATTGCAGGCATGCAGCACTGCACCCGGTTCTCCAAACAGCATCTTTAAACTGTGGAGAAATCACACGAGTATCGTAACCTCCCTCTGCAAATCCTTCTGGCAGAGACCCCGCACTGGAAGCTTGGGACACTGAAATACAAAAGTGGAAGCACCTCATTGAGCATACACTTAAAATTTTTATCTTGCACTCCTCATAAATACTCTTTTTTAAAAACATGGGTGCTAACATAACATTTGCATTTATATCAAGTCGTACTGTCAGCTTGGGGGGAACAGAATCAGGGTGGCACTTTCTGCAAGCATTTAATACATTTTATTTCTATCTAAAGTGATCCAGTTTGCAGAATGTACCTGGTAGGAATGGGAGCAGCTCTGTTTTTTCTATTGTTTCATTTGTAACAGATTCTCTGGCTTCAGTGGCCACAGATTCTCTGACTTCAGTGGCCACAGATTCTCTGACTTCAGCGGCAGACTAAATAGGTTTTAAAGAAGAATATTTAAATGTTATATATGTCGCAGGACATATTTAATGATTCATGGCAAAAAATAAAAATCTTATTACCTTTGAGGACAAATCTTTCTCAGTCCATGCTAAAAAGCAAAAGGAAATATAATTGTTTCCATGCTTATACAACACCAATCATATGCTCATAAAGAATGAGGACAGAGCTAAATTCTCATTCTTAGCTTTCCAACTATTACTCTATGATTTGAATATTTGGAGAAATATTACAAGTCCGGGCAGCAACACAACTGGAATATGCTAAACAAAACATATACTCATCTCTCAAGAGATGGTTCAGTGTTTAAAAACACTTCCCTCTCTTCCAGGGAACCCAAGCTCTGCTCCTAGTGCCCACCTCAGGTGGCTCACAATTGCCTGGGGCTCCAGCTCCAGGGGATCAAATGCTGACCCCCCTGGTGGCACCCTCACAGACAGACATGGTAGACATTCACACAGACACACAGATGAGAACAGAAATTTAAGAATGAGTAAAATATACTCAGAAAAATATCTGTGCAAAACGTCATAAAAACAGCAATTTTTGGTATGGCACAGAAGAACTCATAAAGTTTATCATTTCCCATATTAGAACAGTGTGATGCTGTGTTAACTGTTTGAAGGACAGCTAATGTACATTAAATAAAACACATTCGGAAAGGCAAATCTCACGTGTTTTATCTCCTGTGTAACTTACATATGTATAAATGGCATAAAAGTAGAGATAGTATTATTCTCGGAGAAGAACACCAAGAGAAGGGTTGAGGCAGGACAAGAGATTTTCATGGGGAAAAACATGAACACAGTAGGGATGTATTGTGAAAATTCTATGATTAAGCAAATTCTTTTTTCCCTGAATTAAAAATAGTTGTAGGGTCTCAATTTTCTCCCCGGCAATTTTGTCTACTTCCCTTAGCCAAGAGGATAATAACTATATGTTTTTTCTTGGGTTCACCTTCTTGTTTAGCTTCTTTAGGTTCACCAGGTATACACTCCGTGACCTTTATTTGTGGCTAGAAACCAATTATGAGTGAGTACATCCCATGTTCATCTTTTTGGGTCTG